GCCCCACCTGTCCCCCTGCCCCACCTGTGCCTGCGAGCGCTCCTGTCGGTCTGTGAGTCCGACTTCTAACGGTGCCATCCCTTTTCAGCCTCGCCACCCTCCATGAAGACGGGACAGGCAGGGAGTCTGTCCGGCAGCCCGAAGCCCTTCTCCCCGCAAGCGTCTGCGCCCATCATGACCAAGACGGACAAGACGTCCACCACCGGAAGCATCCTGAACCTTAACCTGGGTCAGTTGGCGCCTCTGGCAGAGTCTTTCTGTGACAACTGTGACTTGGCAATTGTAATGTCCTTTTCTGTGTGTGGTTCTTGAACCTTTGAACTCTTTTCTCTGTGCAGATAATTAAAAAGGTGCAGTGGGTGAAGGTGAGGTGAGTCATGCCCCCAGCCCTCCTTAACCATGTTTTGTTTTCGGCGTGGCCTCACCGAGTTACTGAGGCTGGCCTTGAACTTGCAGTCCTTAGGCCTCAGCCTCCTGAGTCACTGGAATAACTGGCATGCGACACCACACCCATTTGCCGCTGTTCTTGTCTTGAAGGGCCTCAGGTCCGTGTTCAGAAGCTTGTTTCCCCTGGAGCCTATGAGCCAGAACACTGATGAGTGAATACATACATGTGGCCCAAAGAAGTTCCGTGAACCTGTGTTAACCTTCCTGCGCCCAGTGCACTCTGATACACTGTTCCCTTTAACTTTCTGATATCGATTTTCATCCCTTGAGTCGTTATTTTTTAATCCACTGGGTTTTAGTTGGTTATTTAAAAAATACCGTGTTAGGAGAAGAAAAACCTATGAGGCCAAAGTTTCGCACGTTTGCACTAGTAATGCCAACAGCCAAGTGCGAGGTCCTTTTGAGCCATTCTGTCCTGACTCCTGGTCTTGTCGAGCCCTGGTGTTGGGAGTATCGTAGGCTGGGAGAGGTGGGCCGTCAGCGAGGGACCCGGCTATCAAAGCTTCAGGTCCAGGGAGGGTACTCAAGGTGGACGGGCAAGAGGATTCCCGCCACCTAGGAGGAAGAGCCAGCCGTGCCCATAACCGGAGGAAAGAAGAGGGAAAGAGGGGGTTCTAGAGGTGGTGGGTGAAGACCCACTCGCTGTGCTGTAGGAGAGGCCAGGAGGCCGGGGTGGCTGCATCCTGGGCAGGGGCAGGAGGGAGTCCATCGAGGGCTTGCAGACCCTGAGGCGGAGGGGCCTGTGCCCACCTGAGGTGTCTGTCAGAGGACAGCTCTCTGTTGATCAGTCATCTGTCTGGTCAGTTGTGTCTCCCCCCCACATGGGGCCATGTCTGGGACATTTGCTTGTCCCCAGTGCCGCTGAGTCTCCTGCGGTGCCCAGGACCCTCCTGGCGTGGAACTCCTGGACCACGTGGTGACGGGGCCGACTCCCTGGCCAGCGGCAGAGCTATGGGCCAAGAGCTCCCCTTGGAGTCTGAGATGCTTGTTGGCCCCCAGGTGGGCAGGGCAGAGGGCACCTGGCAGACAGGCGCTCTGAGGCCAGCTCTGCGGGAGGGCACTGCCGGCCATCTAGGCGGACAGGCAGGGCTGGGGGCGTGCAGTGCCGCTGGAGCTGGGAGACGCCAGGTCTGGACAGCACCCTGGGTGCCCAGCAGCCCAGGTGGAGCCCAGCTGTGTGTCCTTGGAGCCCGGCTCTCCTGCGTGCTGGGTTGCCTGTCCCCGCAGCCCAGGTGGAACAGGGCACTCAGGGTGGAGCTGGGGGTCGGATTCAGAGTGAACAAAGGGGAACCCACTTGCTGCCTTGGGAACACGGACTGTTTCCTATAGTCCCCAGAACGGTGGCCTCTTCCTTCGCCTCCTCCCTCCTGCACACCCGAGCAGCCGGGCTGGGCGCGGCCTGCTCCCTGCGTTCCCCCCTGCCAGTCCCCTGCGGCCAGGATAGCTCCTTCCCTAAATGGGGTGACCGGCAGGCATCCTGGTGATACTGTGGGTCTCTCAGTGTGGCTTGACGCACGGACATGGGAGTGCAGGACCCTTCCTGGGGCGTGTCTGGTGGGTGGGACGCGGCCATGGGCAGTGGTGCTGGCCGAGGCTCCTGCTGCCTCCCTGGAGGCCCCCAGCCCCCCCCACAGCGGGCAGTTTTGCCGCCTCCCAGCAGGGATGAAGGCCTGTGAGCCCGGCCGTGCCTGGGTGGGATCTCGGGTCCCTCATGGGGGAGGATCGCTGGGTCCTGAAGTCCAGCCAGGGCAGCCTGCTTGGGGCTGAGCGCCAGCTTCGTGGGTTTAGTCACGTCTGTCCCTGTGACGGCCTTCGGCAGACAGGAGGGATACAGGGCACCAGAGACAGACGGACGGCAACAGTCTCACAAGACAGAATTCCATTAAAAAAGTCAAAAGCAAAAACAGACAGAACACTGGAAAAGGCAAACTCACAGTGATGGAAGCAGCTGGGTTAGGGGTGGAGGAGGGTTGGACTGCAGACCAGGAGGGAGCACTTGGGGACAAGGTCTTGCCCCGGGGGTTTGTGCATCTGTGCCTCTGTTCAGACGGACCTGGATTTCCTCCAAAATGAACTTTGCTCTCTGTAGATTGAAATGACTTTCAAAAATAAACAAGCAGCACAGCCTTTGAGGTAGGTAAGACAGCCCCATTTTGTGGAAGGGCAAGGGAGGCACAGAGAAGCAAAGTCACCTGTGCACAGTCACACAGGATTGGGTGGGGCTAGGCCTTTGGGCTCCGAGAACCCCGAGCTGCAGTGCTGTGAGCCAGGGCTGAGCTAGGCTCGAGGGCCTCTCCCTGGAATCTACTGTGCCTCTTGGGTAGGTCAGCCCAGGGGTCAGTGCTAGGTGAAGGTTCCCTCTTAGCAGTGATAACATGGGGGGCAAAGGAGGAGGCTCCTGCCCATTGCCGCTGTGTTTGGAATTAAAGATCAGAATTCCCCGTATGTGCATGTACCCTCCTAGATTTAAAGTCTTGGCTGTTGGGGCTTGCGCAGTGGTGCACACCCATAACCCCAGTGCCTGGGGAGGCCGAGGCAGGAGGATCCCGAGTTTGAGAGCAGCCTCAGCAACTTAGCAAGGCCCTCAGCATCTCAATGAGACCCTGGCTCAAAATCTGTAAAAAGGCTGTGGAGATACAGCTCAGTGGTAGTGTGTCCCTAGGTCCCCTCCCCCTTCCCCCCAGTGCCCCAAATTAACATAAAAACGGGCTCATCTGCACTAAAAGCAAATCATAAAGCTCTACTTGAGAGCCAGATACAGCAACCCAGAACACAAAACCCGGCCCTGGGCTGGCAGCTGGTTTCGAGGCCGGGCTCAGTGAGTTCCTGCGCTGCGGGGGTGAGGGTGGGAGCGGGGGTGAGGGGGGGAGCGGCTCCCGCCCCGGCTGGCTGCCCTCACTTGCTGTCTCGGCCTCTGCTCTCCTCCTTCAGACAGAAGCCGAGTCCCGCTGGCTTGTCTCAGGCCCCTTCTGTGACTTAATGGCGGCGATAAATCACACACCCGAAACCTGAAATCCGCCGAGAACACGGTGCTGGGTTCTTGTCTCCTTCTAGAGCCCCTGGTCAGAGGTGAAGGGCCAGCAGGCCAGTGCTCCTGTGCTGGCCACCGTGTGCTGAGGGAGCCGTGGAGAGCCGTCTGGCCTGGAGCATTGCTGCTGTCCTTCTGCTGTCACTGACAGGGGCCACCTTTGTCCCTGTGCAGGGCAGTCCCTTGGAAGCCAGCCGTTCCTTAAGAGCCCCGTGTGAGCCGGGCCTGGGCTGCCCAGGTGTTCTCCCACTTCCTTACCGCCAATGGGCTGGGAAGCCCCCTGCTGGGCTGTGGTTGCGAGGGGCTTCGGCAGGGTCTCTTGTCTATTGAACTGTCTCCTTGAAGGAGCCGCCACGTTGTAGCTCCTGGAAGTCCACGCGTCATAGTTTGCCAACAGCGTTAAAGCAAAGGAGATCTGTTTATTTCTAAACCATTTATCCGGGCCCCTTATTTATTGGCTCCGGGTGGTTGTCCGTTTCTTGGTTATTGAAAACAGCTACAGGGAATGCTGATTTTGGCCACGGGGGACAGTGTCCGTGGGGTAAACTCCTAGAGTGGAGTGGAGGTCGAGGCCCGTGCCCTTGACATCTTGAGAGGGGTTGCCAAGTTGACCTCTAAAGGGGATGTTCTCGTTTGTGCTCCCTGCAGAAGTGTCAGGTCGGGCGGCTTTCTCTAGCACGGGTATTTTTTTTTTTAAATCCCTGGCTTCCATTTATAGGCTGAGCTGTCTTCATATCAACTGAGAAATTCAAAATCCTGGCAGCACAGTGATTCTGAAGATGGTCCCGATATAGAAGGGCAGGGGTGGGAGAAGGCCTGATAAGCCACCACGAGCCGGAGGAACAGGGACGTGTTCCTTCTCCCTGTGGAGGAGAGAGGGCCCCAAGTGCTGCTGATTGCAAACCGCACACGCCCCGAAGGTCCCAGGGCCTGAGCCACCCCCACACTTTATTCTATTTATTCCTTTTTTTTTGGAACTGGGGATTGACCCCAGGAGCACTCGACCACTGAGCCACATCCCCAGCTCTTTTTAAATTTTATTTAGAGACAGGGCCTCACTGAGTTGCTGAGGCTGACTTTGAACTCTCGAGCCTCCTGCCTCAGCCTCATGAGTCACTGGAATTTCAGGTGTGTGCCACTGTGCCTGCCTGGTGGTGTTTTTTTTTTTAAATCTTTATTGTATTTTATGTTTTAAATTTTTTCTATGTGGTGCTGAGGCTTGAACCCAGGGCCTCACAGGTGCTGGGCAAGGGCTCTGGCCCCAAGCTTCAGTGGCAGCCCCTGGTGGCTTAAAGAATGGTCATAGTAGCGGTTGCTGGAGGCGAGAACCCTTATTTTGTCAAAGAGGGTACTTTCCTTTGGTTGTGTTCTTCCTGTGAATGTGCAGCAGGTGAGTGTTCCCAGAGTGGACTTGAAGGGCCCGTCTATCACAGGCGGGCACGCTCACACCCGTGCACACACAGGTCGAGGGCTCAGGTGAGGGCTGTCTCTTGATGAGCCCCACGTACCGGGTGGAGGCCGTGCGGGATTTCTTTACTCACAGAAGTGGACTTACACCAGGGTCTCCACCCCAGCTGCCCCTAGGAGTCACCTGGGGGGTTCCCCCAGCTCTCCCAGACTGTAAGTCAGGGTTTCTGAGGGACTGACGGATGCTGTATGTCAGGACGTGCATATTTTTTATTTTTGGGTTTGTTTCTCCGTATTTACACTAAAGCGCCCGAGGCAGAGGCCCGGGGTTGGTGCGCTGTGCTGCTGTTTCCCTATCAGTGCTCTTTGTAAGCTACAGATCCAGGCAGGTGAATTTCCAGTTCTTCCCTCCCAGGCCTCCTCCCTCCTCCCTCCAGGGCCTCTCTGCGCAGCCTCCAAGGGCCCTGAGAACACACAGTGCACACTGGACCTTTGCGGGTGCTGTTCTGGAACATGGCGGTAGTGTCTTTGCTAGCTTTGAGCACTCGCTTCCAGAATCCTGCAGGTGTGAGGAAAGAGCCCTTCTGTAGGGTGGGGGCGTTGAGGACCTCGCGTTTCCCCACGTGCAGTGCTGGGAATGCCCTCACGGTTGAAGGTGAAGGGCTGTGGCTCATGGCAGAACAGAAGGAGAGAAGCCAGCGACAGCTCCGCCAGCGCTGGGGGGCGCTCCAGGGCTTCTCCAACAGGCCAGGGAATGGTTGCCTTGGGTGCGGGTCAGCAGGGGAGTGAAGGGAAGCCCAGGAGATGAGCCCACCGTGGCTGGGAACAGGCTCAGAGGTGGCTTCTCCTCTCTGGTGGGTGATCAGATGTCACCCGCTTTCTGACCTGTGTGTGTTCTGGGGTTGGCTGGGTGGGGTTGGAGGGGACCCCACAGGATAAGGTCAAGGGAAAGACAGGCTCCCCTCCCCCGCCATCTCTCACTGCTTTGTGGACCTTTGTGGCCACCGTAGTTCTCTTCCTCTTACCTGCCTCTGGGATGGAGAGCAAGTTCATGCACATGGGCTCATCGGCCCGTCTGGTCATTCAGAGAGCCCTTGGCGGAGTGACGGAGGGGACTTGGGTCAGGGGATGTCATCAGAGGGCTTTGCCTGGGAGTCATGATGAGGAACTTGGTCTTACCTGAGACCTGTTGGTCACGGGTGGGTGTCCAGGAGGAGTCTACTTACCTGGCCTCCGAGGAGGCTGTCGGTGAAGGGAGGCACAGCCGGAAGACCTCCTGTCCCCCGTTTTCCTTTTCTAGTTTGACCCCCAGGTTGGGTAGACCAGGAATGACCCAGGAAGCCTCTGTGGATGGTAGGCGGCCAGGGTCCCAGCCCCAGGTGTCTCTGGGGGCCCCGAGCCTCATTGGGTGGGAGCCCCCCCACTGGGCTTGGGGAGTTTGGAGCCGTGTTGGCTGCCGGGCGCTCTTCCTGCCAAGTGTGCGACGGAGCGCCTCTGGCTTTGGAGGGTCTTGGGTCCCACCGACTCTCTGCCTGGAACCCTCCAGCTTACACCTGAAAGCCGCCCGTGGGAGTCCGCCTGCTGCGGGAGCTCGCTGGCTGCCACCCCAGCCTCCATGTTGCAGGGGGGAGCTCTGTGGTGAGTACCGCTTGCTCCAGCCCCGCGCCTGGGCTTAGGAGGGTGCGGTGGTGTCTTCCAGATCGCAGCAAAGCCGAGATGGACCTGAAGGAGCTGAGTGAGTCCGTGCAGCAGCAGTCCGCCCCGGCGCCCCTCATCTCCCCCAAGCGGCAGATCCGCAGCAGGTTCCAGCTGAATCTCGACAAGACCATAGAGAGCTGCAAAGCCCAGTTAGGTATGGCTCCTGGAGGCCGGCTGTTCCTGATAGTGTTTCTGATTGTTTGTAAGGATGACATCCACCTGGACCGCGAGGGTCCAGTCCTGGCTGCTCTTACCGGCTGCTCTGACCTTGAACCACCGGTGGAGCTGAAGTGTATTTCCACTCACGGCAAAGTGTCCTGGGCCCCCGCCTCACCCGTGTCTCACATCTGTCCTGAGTGGGTCTGTAGGAACCTGGCCCCGCAGGTGGGCCGGTCACTTAATCCCTCTTGGGTCCTCCCACACAGCTTTGTAAAGCCCCCCCATTCCTGTTTACTGAGTGCCTCTGGTACATCCTGCCCTGCTCTCAGCACAGTGCATCCATCGTTCTGGGAGATGGCTACTATTCTCAGTCTCATTTTTCAGATGAAGAAACCGAGGCTCAGAGAGGAGCATCACTTGTTCAAGGTCACACAGCCAGTGACCCCAGGAGCAGGATTTAAATGGTCACCATTTTGATTCTGGTACCTAGTACGTACCACACGTGTGGTCCGGCTTGTCTTTCTTGGGTCCAGACATTAGCTACACTAGCACAAATCTGAGACCTAAAAACCATACCACGCCTGGGTGTTCTCCAAGCCGGGCCCTGGTGGAGGCAGGAGTGTTTCCTAGAGGTCTGCCACCCTCTCGCTCCTGGGCTCCTCCTGGCTCTTGTCCTCTTGTGGGTCTCTCTTGGTGTGTCCAGGCCAAGACGATTCAAGAGGCCGTTGCTCCTGAGTGAAGGCCGTCCCAAGAGCCGATTGGGTTTTCTTTCTGATTTTAGTTTTTGGGCATAGTGTTCTTTACCCGTGGCCTGACCACACCGGGCATTGCAGGAAGGGCAGCGGGGCTGAGCAGGACTGCTGCTGGGAGGGGCTTCTCCCTGTTGGAGCACCTGCTGTTTTGTGCCCCCCTCCTTTTTTTTCCGGTGGAGCTGGGGATTGAACCCTGGCCTTGTGCCTGCGAGGCGAGCGCCGTACCCACTGAGCCACATCCCTGGCCCCTGCTCTCCCCTTTCGGTGGACATGGGCGCATGCAAGTCCGTCTTGCCCCTGTGAGTGGAAGAACAGTGAGCAGTCCACTCTGCCCCGGGGCCTGCTGGTCACCCGAAGAACCCCCGCCCCTCCCCCATGGCTGCTTGGCCACAGGCCTGTGTCCCAAAGTAGGCGAGTCCTCTGCTCTTGGCTGACTCTGCCGGCCATCTTGGTGAGTCCAACACCAACACCCAGACAGAACGGGTGCCGCCCACACGGCAGTCCCCAGTGACGGTGCCCGCGGCTGGGTGGGCTCGGGGCCTTGGCTTCCTTCTGGAGGCCTGGACAAGGGTGTGAGGGCACAGAGCCTCTGGAAGCCCACGGAGGAGGCTGGTGACGAGTCCGAGCCCGGGATCCGCCTTCTGCGTTGTCTCCTGGTTGGCTGTGTGTCCTAGGACGGGTGATTCTCTGAGCCTCTATTTTTTGTAATATGTTTTTTTTTGCAGATGGGCACGGTACGTTTTATTTCATTTATTTTTGTGGTGCCGAGGGTCGAACCCAGGGCCTTGCATGTGCGAGGCGAGCGCTCCACCACTGAGCTGTGACCCCAGGCCTGAGCCTCTACTTTTAAACCTGCAGGTCGGCTGGTTGCAGTGGCTTGTCCCTGTGTCCCTCCAGCCCTCTCCCTCTCTTACCAGCGACGTGGACTTCGCTTGCTCGTGTGTAGTCACGTGTAGGGAGGTCCCAGGTCACCTCTGAAGGCTAAGGCCTCTGCAGACACGGCTCCCGCTGGTCACTTGTGTCCAGCCGCTGCTTCCGTTTACTCCCGTCCCCCGCGCCAGTGTGATGCGATTTGAGTGTGCTTTTGTCCCTCCGGCCTGTGGCGTGGGCACCATCGGCACTTGCTGGTCCTGCTTCCCGTGACTGCGCCACAGCCTGGGTGTTCTCTCTTGAATGTAGGCATCAATGAAATCTCGGAGGACGTGTACACGGCCGTGGAGCACAGCGACTCGGAGGATTCCGAGAAGTCCGAGAGTAGCGACAGCGAGTACCTCAGTGACGACGAGCAGAAGTCCAAGAACGAGCCGGAAGACGCGGAGGACAAGGACGGCAGCGCGCTGGACAAGGAGCCACCCGCTGCCAAAAAAAAGCCCAAGCCCGCCAACCCCGCGGAGGTCCCCGAGGAGCCCAAGAGCGCGTCTCCAGTGGGCGAGAAAGCAGAGCCCGTGGCCGCGAAGGCCAGCCCCGAGCCCGAGAGGGACTCTGCCGAGAGAGCGAAGCCGTCCCCGCATCCCACCAAGGACAAACTGAAGGGCAAAGACGAGACGGATTCCCCGACGGTGCACTTGGGCCTGGACTCGGACTCAGAGAGTGAACTTGTCATAGACTTGGGAGACGACCATCCTGGGCGGGAGGGCCGGAAAAACAAGAAGGACCCCAAAGAGCCGCCTCCCAAGCAGGACGGTAAGTCCCTGTGTCCGGCTGCAGGTGCTCCCTGGGCTTGCCACGCCCCCGGCCCTTGTGTTGGCAGAAGCCACGGGGCCCCAGCACCTGGCAGCGAGGAAAGCTTGGACGGCCTCGTGGCTGAGGACAGAACAGGACCTTGGCCTGCTCAGTGCCCACCATGATGGCTTGGGGGCCCAGCAAGGAAGCACTTAGGGAACGGTAGTTGGTTTAGTGAAGTCCTCTTTAGCCTAAGCCACTGCTTTTCCAACAGGCTCACTCATGTCCCTGAAGTGTTTCTTGACATGTCGGCCTCTGACCAGGCTCAGTCAAAGGTCCTCCTTAGTCCAGCTTTCTGCCTGTCCCTCATGCTACTCGGGCATTACCAGGTCCATTTTCTTACGAGAATGTGAAACTGTTTGGTAAGTGGTGCCCGAGTGCCCGAGAGCCTTTCGAGGACCTAGAAACTCAAGGGGCAGTGTCTGGTGACGTGCCACCTGCTTTGATGTCCGTCCTGTCCATTTAGCTGACCCGAGCCCAGGGCTGGCACTAGTGACACTTGGCCCTACAGAGTTCTCTGTCCTGTGGAGGGTGTCAAGGAGCTTCCTGGCCTCTGCCACTAGGTGGCTACAGACCTTCTGGTGTTGGCTGTTAGGTGTCCCTGGAGGGCATGACACTTCACAGGGCACCCTGTCTGCGCAGGAAAGCCCTCTAGCAGGAGCTTGGGAATGAGTCGGAGAGTGTTCTTGCCCTGCAAAGCCGTCAGCACATTTTCCAGCTGGCTCGGCAAATGGGTGGTGGGTGGAGCCCAGCATGCCCACGGAAGGTGCTGAAGAATTAATCAAGGCTCCCTGCAGAAATGTTGCCTGAGGACAGATTAGAGGCCACAGCCATAAAGCCTTCTGTACTTTGTGGGTAACTTCAAGCGTAGCCAGGTTTAATTTTTGACTGTGCCTTACTTCTGACAGCTGCTAGCTTCTTATCCAAACCATTGAGTAGGATGTGAGCCTGTGTCCTTTGAATTTCCCCAGCCTGGTGGCTTGAAGCAGGGTCTCGGTGTGTGCGGAGGATCTTGCTGCTGTGGAGTCTCAGTTGTTAGTGGGGAGAGAGGGTAGCCCTCTGCTCAGGAAGAGAGAACAGGATGTCTCAGAAGCGTGCAGGAGGGGAGAGGGAAAGGAGGCACAGAGAAGGCAGGCCGACTGGCCCTGGCCATCTCAGAGATTCATAGATGCTTCTGAAGAACAGTGACGTCCTGCGTTGAGCTCTGAGAGACTGCTCTCTATTGTCGCAGAGAGCACGGGCAGCAGCATTTGTTCCGTGAGGATGGTGGAAGTGTGATTTGGGCGTAGGTGGTACAGGACTCCTGAGGCACATTCATACTGTTCTGTTCTTTCTGGAACAGGACTTTTGATTGATTCGTTCAATGCCCCTTCCTCTTCCAGACAGGATTTGCAGCAGATTGACAAGAATGCATAACCACGAAACAGAAAGAAAATAGAGAAGTCAGTGTAAAAGGGAAGTGAAGGTAGAATAACTGGGCAACAGTTTTAGGCCAAAGTACGTGCTATCAGCGTTTAGAGTTGGGCTCTGAGCTTCCTGGCCATGAAGGCAAAAAAGGAAGAGATCCTTAAAAGATCTTACACTCTCCAAAAACTCAAAGTGAATCCAGTTGTTGAAAAAAAAAAAATAGAGCTTTTCCTCACGCTGACGTCTCCAGGAAACTTCTCCTGGAGCCCCTGAGTAGATGCTGGATGATTGAGCAGAAGGTTCTAGAACCCAGTTCAGTTGGCAGCTTCTTGGCGATTAGGAAAAACCGAATGATCTTAAATCCAGAGCCTGCGTGGTGGTTCGGGTCTCGAAGGCTCAGTCTTGGACTCTGCAGTGGAGCAGGGTCCCCACCAAGTGCCTTCGCTTCTGCTCAGTTGAGGGGAAGGGCGTTTGGGACGGTGCCGTGGGGACTCCCGCTCACCCTCAGCGTGGAGTGCGGCGTGTGGTGGAGTAGGTACCTTCAGAGCAGAACCGCTCTCATCAGAAGCAAAGGGAGCCCCTAGAGAGCTGCTCCCTGCTGCGCCCAGGGTCCTGTCACCCTTCCCCACGGGGATGCTAATGCAGGGTGGCAAGTTCTGGAATATGTCAGGGAATTTGAATGGGCAGCTCCCGGGGTGCCAGCCCTTTAAGGGCTTCACCCTTTTGGGATGAATTTTGGGTGATTGTATACTCCGGATTTCTAGCCAGTGAAGTTTCCCTGAGATTCCTCCCCACCAATCGTCAGAACACCCTAGAAGTTAAAATTCGTCTAAATGATAACGTGGGGAGCTGGAGGCGGGAGACTTTTGGGGCTCCCCACCCCTTTTCCTGAAGGAAGAGCAGCGTGACCCTTGCAGAGCAGCTGCCCCACCGCCCAGCTGCGCGTTTGCCCTGTCAATCAGGAGGGAGCGACCCTTGGCATTGCCCTTGGTAGGGGCACGCAGGCCACAGCGCCCAGCGATGCGCACGTTTTGTCATTGGCACAGAGGGAGGCGTTGAATGAATGCGCTTCTACAGGCGGGAGCCCGGCTGTGCCAGGCCTCTGCCCGGTGAATGCCTCCCGTGTACCTGGAAGGGGCAGGGGCTGTGTCCAGTACTCGTCGGTCACCCAGGAAGGATCGGGACCCCTCATTGCAGGAAGAGGCCCCGCCCAGCCCCACTTGGGCTGATGCCCAGCAGCCGGCTGAATGCTCCCCTCCAGGGAAGCAGGAGGGCTGCCCCAGGCCTGCCCCCAGTCGGCCACCGGCTGTCCCTCAGCTTCCTTCTCCCGGCCCCTGAACCCCACAGCGTCCTGACCGTCCTCCCTTCATCACGCTCTCGCGTTTCCTATGAGGAGTTTGATGTCCAGGCAGCATGGAGTCTGAGGTCAGGGCGGTTGACCCGCACTCGTGTTTGCAGTGTGTTCCCTGATGTCCTCTTGGGGCCAATCTGCCTAGTCCACGGTTGGGACTTCGGTGGCCATGAGCAACCCCCTGGCTGAATGAGCTCCCTGCTCTCTCAGTGCCTCTGGCTCTTCTGCCTCGGCCACTCCTGCCCCGCTGTCTCCTTACCACGGTGCTGTGGCTCCTAGCACCACAGTGGCCCTGTCGTGGCCCGGGCTCCTCCCTCTGTCCTCGCTCTGCGCCGCCTCAGGCCTTCACGTGCACGGTTTTGGTAATTCCCAAGTCCTGCCTGTGTAGTCGTTGACAGTATTTTTATTAAACTCATTTTAAAAGACGTGAACACGTTCCACTTGACCTCCACACACTAGGACAGCCTGGACTGTGTGCGTGGACATAAGACGGCCGGGCAGGCAGACGTCCAGAGCTAAACCTCGCAGAGTGATGGTGCTGGGGGGTCCTGGCCGTGCGTGGGGCAGAGTTCCCGTTAGTGTCGGTGCCTCCCCGGGACGTTGTCCTGGAGGGGACGGAAGAGACAGGGGGCTGTTCTTTCTGGGCGGTGGCTCCGTGCTGCTCAGTGCTTGGCAGAGGAGAGGCCCTCTGGTTCTTGGGGTGCGGGAGTTAGGGGATCCCTAGCTGAAGGGCTTCCCCTGCCCCTCTGCAGTGAGTCCTTTCTCGGACAAGCCCTTGCAGGGATTCTGTCGCCCACTGCTTCGTCCCCTGGTGGGGGTCGTGTTCACCTCCTGACCCCCAGGGGCCGTGGCTTGGGTCTCCATGCCAGCCGGGCTCAGTGGAGGAGACGTGGAAGGTGGGCGCCTGGTGCGGACTCCCGGGGCATCCCTGGCTTTGGTGGGCTTTGCCCAGAACTCAAGGCAGGTCCCTGCCGGGAACCGAGTCCAACCTGCTCTGTTTGTCTGTCTGTCTCCACGCCCTGGCTGTAGTCGTCGGTAAAGCGCCGCCGTCCACGACTTCCGGCAGCCAGTCTCCCCCCGAGACCCCGGTGCCCACCCGCTCCTCCTCCCAAACCCCTGTGGCCGGCGTCCCGGCCACCACCAGCACGACGTCCACCGTCACGGTCACCGCGCCGGCCCCCGCCGTCACAGGAAGCCCGGTGAAAAAGCAGAGGCCGCTCTTACCGAAGGAGACTGCCCCGGCCGTGCAGCGGGTCGTGTGGAACTCATCAAGTAAGTTTCAAACGTCCTCCCAAAAGTGGCACATGCAGAAGATGCAGCGTCAGCAGCAGCAGCAGCAGCAGCACAGCCAGCAGCAGCAGCCTCAGTCTTCCCAGGGGACGAGATATCAGACCAGACAGGCTGTGAAAGGTACAGCCCCCTTCTGCCTGCGTGGCGCCCACTCCCGTTGCCACCTGGACAGGACAAACACCATTGCCGTTTTATTTTTCCCTCCCGTTTGTGTCCCGGCCATCGTGCCCCGAGGGCCTCGCACGTTCCATTTGGCGTTATTTTTTTTTAAAGTTGGTTTGCAACTCACTTTTTCACTTCAAAAAAAACAACAACTTTTTTTTAAGGTGATACATGCCTCTCTTCTCCTCAGAAAGGGGACAGGATGTTTATATAGAATTTTGTTGAGTGTTGTCCCGTTCACCTTCCATTTCATTGTCCTTCCTTCCTCGTAGCCACGACCAGTCACCTAAAACCCTTTCCTATGCATGTACGCACAAGTATCTACATACCCCCACCCACCCCCACACACACCACACCATAAAAGTACTTATTTTCCCCTTTTTTTCTTTTTTAAGACATAAAAATGGTACCATACTTGCTTTTTTTTTCACCCATCAGCATGTTTCGAGGTCTGCCTGTGTCCCAGCATACGGCCCTGCCTTCTTCTTTTGGACTGCTGCGTAGTATTCCCTAGTTTATGTAAAGCATCTCCTTCCCGGTGGGCTTAGGTTACTTCCATTTTTTTTCCTACCATGAGCAGTGCTGCAAACAAAGTTGTACCTTTGTGTAGTGTTTCCATGGGCACATGAGCAAAGCCCTTGGCCTTGTTTTGGGAAGAGTACGGTCGGTGTAAGAGGTTGACAGCAAAGCTTACTCTAAAAACCGGGGATTTGCCACACCCATGAGATAGGCCAGCGGCAGGAACTGCTTGCTGAAGTTGCAGAGTTGAAACTCCCACCAGAAAGCAGGATGCTCCATCGGCAGCTGACGTCAGGGCACACAGAGGGCTGATCTGCCCAGGGTCAGTTTGCCCAGGTTGGTGAGGCTGGGGTACATCTGGTTCCTCAGGGAAACTCCTCCAGATCCTGGAAGGTGGGGCCCCTGATTGAAAGTCTCCTAGTGAGTGCACCCTGGTGAGCAGGCTTCTGATTAGCAGCAGGATGCAAGGTAAAAGGTCACCTCAGAGGAGCCCCATGTAACCCTCCAAAGATTGGGGAACGGGAGAGGAAGGAGGAAAACTGGAGAGGTCAATTGGAAGACAGTTGAAGTGACCTCGTGCTTAAAACGTGGTTGGAGCTGGGCGCAGTGGCCCACGCCTGCAATCCCAGCAGCTCGGGAGGCTGAGGCAGGAGGATCGGGAGTTCAAAGCCAGCCTCACAAAGGCGAGGCGCTAAGCAACTCAGTGAGACCCTGTCCCTAAATAAAATACCAAATAAGTCTGGGGATGTGGTTTAGTGGCCCAGTGTCCCTGAGTTCAATCCCTGGTACAAAAAAGAACAGTTGTTGGGGCAGAGCTGGATCTAGGTTGCTGGAGATGAGGATGAGAGCGTCTTGTCTTCCTCCCCGTGAGCAGATGCTCCTTCTCCAGGGGAGGCTTGGTGCTGCCAGAAGGACTCGGACATTATGGTCCTCAGCTTTCCAGTTGTCTCAAAGTGACAGGGACCGATGGCATGTTTGCAGCACTAGTTACGGTGTAATCAGTCATACGCTGGTGCGCTAGACAGGGAGTCCAGGTGAACTGACCTCTGCTTTGACCTGTGTGGAGGTTTGGGGCCTGTAGGTGGGTTGAGGGAGCAGGGAGGGTGAAGTGGGGGCTCAGGAGAGTCGGACAATATGGGGCAGAAGGGCTGGGCCGTCCAGGGTGGTGTGGGGCCGGAAGTCAGAGCCCCTCTTCCGTTGCCTTGTTGCAGGTCGGAACCAGCTGGGGATCCTTGGGCACCTGGCGTCTGCCCCGGGCACTCGGGTACCAGGGCTGCCTCACAGCCTTGAGCTCTCCGAGGTGGTTCATGTTTGCTCAAGTGTTTCTCCTGGGGGTGGGACGCAGCCTGGCTCCTTTGGTCACTGTAGAGTAGAGAAGCCCACAGGGTGCGTCAAGGGCTGGGCCGCACTTGTCACCACAGCGTTGTGCTGGGACAGCCCCGCCTATGTTTCTGGGGTGACCAGGACCCTTTGTTCTCCTAGCTGTCCAGCAGAAGGAGGTCACGCAGAGCCCGTCCACGTCCACCATCACCCTGGTGACCAGCACGCAGCCATCGCCCCTGATCAGCAGCTCGGGCTGCACAAGCACCCTGGCGTCGTCCATCAGCGCCGACCTGCCCATCGCCACCGCCTCAGCCGACGTCGCCGCCGACATCGCCAAGTACACGAGCAAAGTGAGTGGCGGGCGCCGGGTGGGCTGCGGCGGGGGGCCTGGGCAGAGGACCCTGTTGCTCCCAGCCCAGATCCGCCCTGGCTCTGAAGTCCGCTCTCAGCAGGGTATTGCAGGGAGGCTTAGATCCCAAAACCAGCCCATAAAGTCCACCAGGCGCTGGAGGTGCCTTTGGCGTTCAGGCCGCTCACGAAGCACAGGCTTTCCTTGAGTGCTGGAGCAGAGGACGGCTGGCCCAGGGCTTCAGGGCCCCGAGGTTCCGAACAGGGAGGATCCAGGGTCAGCGACGTGCCACTCGCGGTGGTTTTCTGGCCTGTTTATGGCCTGAGCCAGTTTTGAATTAGTATTTTTATTTAAACTTCATTCCTATTATTTAAATCCATTCAGGGTATTGCAGGGAGTTTAAAAACCTAAATAAGTGAAGCTTAATGTCACCAGATACTGTTTGTGTCAAGGCTTGGACCTGGAGGGAGACTGACGGGGGTGTGGCGGCCCCCACCCCCGGGAGCCTCTCTTGCTGACGGCTCTGTGGGGTTGGAAGAGGCTGATGGGGACGTGTTTTCAGGATCCATGTAAGGTGGTGTCTGGTGCTGTCCGTATTTCAATGTGCATTTGTCCCTGGTGTCCGCCTCCTGTGATCTGGTCCCAGCTGATTACAGATAGGTAAACTGAGGCCGGCCGGTGGTCAGGCTTGTCACTGACCCTAAGCCCATGTTCCCGGCTCCTGTGGCCATGGGCCTTCCACCGCCCCCTCCGGTCCCCTTTCCCCTGAGGCAGGACCTGTTTCCAGGGATGTTTTCTTCACCATTTAAAAGAACCAACAGGGTCACTTTGGGGATGGGGGTGGGGTGTTCCTGATGAACTCTTCTCTCTCTGAGGTGACCTGACGTTGGAGGCCCGGGTTTCTGTGTTTGGGCAGAAATGCCTTCCTTATTAATTCCGAGGTCTTGGCTGTGTTTGGAAGTGGAAGTCACTCCACAGTCCGTCTTTAAAATGCAAAGTCAGCGTTGCCTTCGCGGCCTGTTGAGTTTCCCCCACTGCCCCGCGTTTTCTTGTGAGGCTGTTTGGTCCAGGGCTTTCTGTGGACGTGCCTGACAGCAGAGTCCGGGGGTCCGTGAAGAAGGACCCCCTGGGAACCTCGCCCAGCAGAAAGTACCCTGGCGGCAGCCTGCGGAGGGCGGGACTCGCAACAGATATTCCACTCATTTGACTCCAATTTTGGGGTGAATTGGGGTTCCTCTCTTGGGGCCCGCCAGCTGTCATGCAGTTGCGTCCCCACACGGATTTGTTTTTGTGCAAAACAGAATGCGAAAGGCCTTCCTTTATGGCCACCTCCCCACTGGTGGGCAGGCCCGGGGCGGCCTTGGCCTGGTTTTCCCAGTCCCTTGTGCACACCCCGCCGAGCGCTCTGTTGGCACCTGGCCTTGTTCCAGGGAAGGTGAGACACTATGGCGGGACAGAGGCAGTGGATGCACCGTGTCCTGTGTCCTGCCTTCCCTCTGAGCTGGAGCTTGGGAAAGCCCAGGAGAGACTGGCCTGGGTCAGAGCAGGCCCGACACACCTCTCTCCTGACCCCTGCTGGCCACTGTGGCGGGAAGGAGGAGAGAAGGTCTTCCCACAGACACATTTGGTCAGCAGGTCTCTGGGTGGCTGTGGATTCTCCCTCTCCCTCTCCCCCTCCCCCTCTCTCCCTCTCTCCCTCTC